ATGGCAACGTTCGTTGGGTCCCGTTTTTACAGGTTTGAGACAAAACATCGTACCTTTTTCAACGCTGAAGCTGTTTAGATTCCCAACTGGACCTAGTTCATATTTAAGTTGTGTTAAAGTTGCGTACTTTACTGTAAAACGACATGTTTAAGTGCCTTAAAGACATTTCTGTTGGCTTCGTTTTGCTTCTTTAGGTTTGTGCCAGACCTGAAACATATCCTCTGTCTCCCTCTGATGGAAATGTGTTAAATAACACATGTTGCTTTAAATAGATAAAAGTACCTAAATAGAGTCTTTGATCAGATGTACACCTATAGTTGCACTATAAAACCATATATGAATAACGTGGTGTGAATTTAGCGCTTAATTTTTAAAGGGATTCTTCCTGACGTGCTTAAGTTACAGCAGGGATGTGGGTCAGAACACATTTAATTCAACACAAAGTAGCAAACTGAGTAGCTGTGATTGTTTTTCTTCAGTTTAAAGTCTTGTCTGTTTGGTCTCAGAAGAATCATTTTAAAAGAATTGCTTGTTGAAAGATGCAATCCATAAACACAAGAGTTTGTTCATATTTTCTAAAGTATGGCCCGTCATTTTCTGTTGTTTTCTGGGAGTTTGTTGATAAGAACCACATGCTGGGGCTAAAACTGGAGCCCGTTTTTATTTAGTTTGGTTTATTTTCTGTGCTCCACTCTTGTTTTTTAACTTGAAACTTTGACGTTATATTTATCTGGAGTTCTTGATTAAAGAAGAATGAAGGTAACTCCAGTTTTCTCTCATTTCTTCAGCACCTCCGACCTGCTGGCATCAAGTCAAACTATTTCAAACGCAGGTCAGAAATGCTGCGAAGATCAGCAGAACGGCACGAACATGTGGCGCTGCTGAAAATAAATGGCTGTAAGACATCTGTGGTGATTCTATTTAAGTTTTTCAGGGTCTGCCTGTGCCTGAAGGCGCCCTAACATGCACGTTTTTGTCCTCGTGTAAACTCCACACAGAAACATCCCATGTCCAACCAGGGATTGAACCCAGGACCTTCTTACTGAGTCAACAGTGCTAACCACAAATCCACCGTTCTGTAATCGACTTTGTGTCAGGATCCACATAAACCAGCATGAGAGAGAAGAGATTTTCCAATTTATTTACAAAAATAAAACTTTAGTTCTGGGTCCATAATGAGCTCATCGTAAGCATCTTTTATCTAAAGTACCAACGCAGGAACCGAAAGCTCTAACGGACCCCACTTTTCACTCTGCTACTGTCTTTACTTACTCTACGTGTTTTGTATTTGTAATTATTATTATTTTTTATCCTTAACATGTTTTTTGTCGTTCAGGTACACCTGGACCTATACCTGGACCTACCATTCTGTGTTTGTCTCTCCTTCCTGTCCTCTCAACCAGCAGATCAAAGCAGATGACCGCTTGTCCTGAGCCTGGTTCTGCTGGAGGTTTCTTCCTTTTAAAAAGGAGTTTTTCCTTTCCACTGTTGCCACTGTGCTCGCTCAGGATGGGAGACCGCATCGAAGCCAAGGTTCAACTTGTCTGCTGGATTCCTTAGATAGAGAACTTTACTAATTGGCTTTTATGTGAATGTCTCTGTAAAGTGCCCTGAGACAACTTTGTTGTGATTTGGTGCTATATAAATAAACTGAATTGAAAATTTTATCTATATATAAATCTATATATATAACACAACACATGTATACATAAGTGTTGTGTTGTCATCGTACGTTTCTATAGAACGATGAAATCGGTTCTCTGCATTTAACCGATCACAAATGAGATACACCAGGTGGAACAGTGGGCAGCTATGTCAGTGCCCAGGGAGCAGTTGGGGATTGTGTGTCTTGCTCAAGGACACCACGACATGAGAATGGCTGGGGGCTGAGCCTGCGACTCTCTGGTCCCAGTTGAGTTGACCTACCTCTACAACATCTTGGCCTCGGATATTTAACTTACATGATATAAACTTGTGCATATTTACAGTCGATTAAGAAAAAACAAAAGATGCTGAAACTATTACCAGCTTTGTTTCATTCTGAGCTGTCGGCTTCGATGGAGCTTTAGAGCCACGCTAAGAAAAAAAAACATTAAAAACCATAAAATTACAAGAATAACGTTGAATAAGCGTGTCCCTAAAGCTCCATCGTAGTCAGTGGCTCGTTAGGGTCACCGTGATAAATATGTTGAAGTGGGGTTATGTGGAAAGGTTATGAACGATCAATATCTTATCTGTACTCATTTATTCATTCATTCAACCTTTATTTAGACAGGTTAATCCCATTGAGCCTCGAGGACTCATTTACAAGAGAGACCTGAATTCAACAAAGAGTGATGACAGCAATGGACAACAACGACAACAATAAACCGTTATAAAAAGGCATACAGATTTATTTTTTTCACTTTGAGCTTTTGGCTAGTCCGAACTCAGCCAAGAGCAGATCGAGTGGATCACTGCCGGAGGAGTGTGTTTTTTCTGCTGGTTGAGATTCTACAAGTCAATCACGTTGGATCATTTCTGAACACATTCCAGATCAAAGACTTGGAATAAACTACTTCCTGCGCTCCTGATGCAGGCACAACTGTACTTCCTGCTCGTGTCTTTGGGGCAGTGAGACGTAGAGTTAGGAATGTGTGCCCTGAGGCACCTGTTTTCATAAACATCCACACTAAATGCTTGTAGACATTCATGCAAAGGACACACTTTTATTTTCTGGTACATGTGATTCAATTCAGTTTATTTATATATGCCAAGTCACAACAGAAGTCATCTCAGGACACTGAGCAGAAACATTCATATTTAAAAATAATAATTTATATGAGGAGCAGACTGTTTTGAGTTTAATTCCATCACAGAACTCATCTTGAGCAAGCAAGAAGGCGACAGTGGAAAGAAAAAACTCCCTGATGAGGAAGAAACCTTTAGCAGAACCAGGCTCAGGACAAGCGGCCATCTGCTTCGACCAGCTGGGTTTGACGAACCGGACTTTCTAGGAAAATGAGCTAGAGTTCGATTAAAGCGGACTAAACAGGGCTGGTGTGAGTGCACCCTGAGAGGAACAGATACACAATGGCAGGTCCAGAATCGCATGTTAAGATAGAAATAATATCAAATGAAAACTATTCAATTTTAACAATTCATTTAAGGAAATGAGGTCAATTTGTCCTCTAATAGTCAATAGAGCATAACAAGCCAACCCTAACTATAGGATTTATCGAAAAGGAAAGTCTTAAGCCCAGTCTTAGAATTGGACTGTGTGTCAGCCTCACTGACAGAAACTGGAAGTTGGTTCCACAAGAGAGGAGCCTGAGAACTGAAAGATCTTCCTCCCAAATTTAATGAAACAAGTTCATTTAAGAAATGAACAGTGACCCTAAACTATTCAGCCCAAACTGCTGAGACTTTGGTAAATAATTTTTATTCCAACAATGTTCAGTCAGGTCATCTGGACGGTTTCTTTTTATGTCGTCCTTCATCCAACGGACTTCTTCAGTCTGAGGAAACGCCAAACAGAACTGGTTCTCCACCAACAGCCTACTCCAAAGTGGGGAAAAAAAAACAGTTTGCTGGTGCTAAGATGGGCAGATACTACGGTGGCCGACGGGTGCAAACGCGCAGCAAAGGGCGAAACATGCAGCAAACACATGTATGACGCAAACTCAAAAACAACACACAAACAACAAACACAAAATAATCAAATGCAAACACAAACAGATTCCAACACTGCATGAGGTAAAAGTGTCAACATCAGACTGGCATGCTCGTCGATTAAAGAGAGGTTACAGCAGTGCGCAAGGGGAAGTTGAAGGCTAGACAGCAAAGGAATTGTCAGATCAACAAGTGGTGGAGGCTGCAGGAGTGACGCAAATTAATATGAAACTGCAATGCTGGTACTCATATGTAAAACGTAGATTGGAGAAAAAAGATATTTGCTGCACTCATTGCTTTGAAATGTTTGTACGGTTGCTAGTACTGTTTTATCATAGTCAAAGTTTATTTGTTTGTCATTCGCACCACATGTGGTACATGTGGTGGAACGAAATTGTGTACACAGGGTCCCAGTTACATCCAACAAAAGTATAAACTGTAAAGAAAAACAGTAATAAGATCTAAGATATGAACTAAGAAATACGCTAAACTAAGAATACACTAAACACTAATAGTCTATAAAAACAATAGGCCGAACAACAGCAGCACGAACATGTGTCTGTGTGAGAAGATGAGCACAGCAACATGAAAAAGATCAGCAGCAGCATGATGTGATTTTTCACAGTGATTATTCTAGTTAGAGATTCATGAGTCTAACAGCCTCAGGGTAGAAGCTGTTCCTCAGTCTAGTGGTTCTGCACTCAATGCTCCTCAACCTCCTTCCTGAAGGGAGCGGGGCAAAAAGTGTGTGTGCTGGGTGAGTGGGGTCCTTCATGATGCAGGTGGTCCTCTTCCTGCATCTAGAGGTGTAGATGTCTGTGATGGTGGGGAGGCTGATTCCAACAGATTTCTGTGCAGCCTTCACCACTCTCTGCAAAGCTTTTCTTTCTGCAGCTGTGCAGCCTCCATGCCACACGTTGATGCTGGAGCACAGGATGCTCTCCACTGCACACCTGTAGAAGGAGGTGAGGACTGAGCTTCTCAGACCAGCTCATCTCAGCCGTCTGAGGAAGTAGAGTCTCTGATAAGCACCCCTGAAGGTCAGACTCTAGAATCCCCTGGTTAAACCAATGAGGATTTCAGCTTTAATTACTGAGTTTTTATGTCTCCAATTTATCCAAACACTGGAAGATGTTTTCCAAACTCTTTTAATTCCAAAACACATTATTTTCGATTGTTTAAGACCCATCAGCACAACTAGAACTGAATGTATTACATAGTGCTAGTTTTATTTGTTTCATTTTTATCTGAATTTACATTGTTCTGTGTTGTCAGAGTTCGGCTCGGCAGGGTTCGGCTCGGCAGGGTTCGGGTCTCTCCGGCGGTGTTGCCCAGCCGGGCTCAGGGTGGCGCGCGCCCGTCCTCCGTTCAGACATGGCAGCGGAGCAGCTGCAGCGGACTGCGGGGCCTGGAGGCTGCTGAACACCGGGACGCTACCGAGCCGCAGCCTGGAGGGGAGCGCGACGCCCAACGAGGTAAAGCAGCGGCGCTTTTCTGCGGCGAGCCATCTTTAATATTACCCACATATTGTGAGGATATGTCCCCCACATCCAGCCCACCTCCTCGACCAGCTCCCCGTCATGGCTGACAGTTAGCCAACATGCTAACCCGGCTAGCTCTGCGGACTAGGACAAGTTTGTAGCGTTAGCTTGCTAATACTACGTCCGTTTTCACGACAAACGGGCTTAAGTTTTCACGTTTATGCCAACTCCATCACTTGGCCAGTTTGTCATATATTTTAAATATGAACGAAGATATAGGCAGGCAGCAAAAATGTAGTTAAAATTTTGAAGTAACGTTAAAATAGCGGTTTTCCCCCTCCTTAGCATGTTAGCTTGTTTATCGGTAGCTAGCTTGCAGAGAGCTCTCGTTGCACATCTTAGCTTAGAAACATGGCCTCAGAGCCTAATATTTAGTGTTTAAACCTGCAAGGCAGCCGTGCTATTATGGAGAATGTTAAAAGTTAACAGGCTTTTGTTAACTATATTAGTTTTTGTGTTATGAGCAGTGTTTTAACTATCAAGGGTTGTCTTCAGATGGTTTCAAAGTGAGATCTGTTTACTTGTTCATGTTCTCTGTCATCAACCTTTCAACCTGTTGAAGTTAGTTGTTTATTGAAGAGATCTGTTTAACTTAACAGGCAAACACACCTGACATGCTGCTTTTTAGTAAAGCATTCTCAGAAATCATCTGCAGGGCCCCTCTTGGTAAACAGAAAACTGATGAAATGACAAAAACTTCTCGGTGTTTGTGAAAATTGGACATTTACTGCATATTTGTGTTAAGAAAACAGATTGCTGGTTAACTCGGATGTACTCGACACGAGTCGTCAGCAGGTTAGTCTCTGCTTTTAATTTTTACTTTGCTGTGACACTTTGCATTGTAAATCATCACACAGTGCCCAAGAAGAAGCTGATGTTACTTTTATTTTGACATGTTCTGCTGTTGTGTTTAAGGACTGCGTGTGACTTCCTGTCTGTGCTTTGAGCTGAGGTTTGGCAGCTCAGTCTGTCACAAACTGTATCCATTAAAACCAGACTGGGAGGGATGAGCTGCAACCTTTGCTTGTTCTCTGAAATGTACTTGTTTACATTTGTCTTCCCCTCAGACAGATCTATGAAGAAGCATTTTGAGGCAGATTTTGCACTTGAACAGGAGGGTTAGTAGGTGAAGTTAGTACTGTTGACCTTGTGGTTAGTGCTTGGGCTTTGTGGTTTAATCAAAACTTACTTCCTGTAACATGTATACAGCTGGATAAGTCAGTTAAACTTGTCTTTTTGATGCATTCTCTTTTGCCAAATCCTAAACAGTTTGGTATAATTTACTGATAGGTGAAAGCTTTGAATATTGTAGTTCTTATTTAAATCATGCCCAAAACTATAGACATAATAAAAGATCTCTATTAATTTTGTAATGTTTTCAATTCAGTTTATGTATATAGCACCAATTGACAACAGAAGTCGTCTCAGGGCACAGAACAGAAACATTCACATACATAAAAATCAGTGTTATTTATCTGAGGAGCCAGCAGACTTCTTTGAGTTTCACTTGATCGCAGTCTCCCATCCTAAGTGAGCGCAGATGTAACAGTGGAAAGGAAAAACTCCTTCATGAGGAAGAAACCTCCAGCAGACCCAGGCTCAGGACAAGTGGCCATCTGCTTGTTTTAATGTACTAATTTACTGTGAAGGAACAGAGGCCTCCTAAAACTGCACCAGTCTGGCAGATGATTTATAGTAACTGATCTTTGACCAACCTCACTTTCATGCTGGTGTCTCACTGAGCTGCAACTGCTGAAGTGAACAGGTGAACGCTTAGATTAGTCTTAGACACAACTCTGAGGGCTGGTTTCACAGACGATACTTAAGACTAGTCCCAGACTACAATGCTATTTGAGCTGGTTTAACTTTTAAGTCCCTTGTTCTGTATTAAACCAGGCCAGTTGCAAGAAGGTGGATCAGAGCTACTCTGCAACTAAATCGAAGCTTAAAATGGTCCTTTAAAGAGGACAGGTTTAACTTCTGCTTCGTATAGTTTGTGAAAGGGAGCACCGACTGTTTGGCAGCATAGAGTCTTTAGAATATCTAAATGAAGATTAATAAACAGCACGGAGGTCAGCCAGAGGAGCTCTTGTGGACTGGATTCATCCAGTGAACCTCTTAGATGAAATAACATCACAAGACCACTTTTGTGCATACAGAGAAATTTCACTGGACATAATGATCTGGACTTCCCTCTCTGAATCAGAGGAAGATCTGCACCCAGTTTTCTCCAAGTTCTGATCACTTTGAGACTCTTCATCTGGAATCTGTCATGGTGAAACTGGTGATTTGTGTGGTGCCAGTGAAGTATCTGAGTGTGGAAGAGTCCAGAGTCTGCAGTGCCATTTTTTTAACTGAGAAGCTGTACATAAATGTCCCCGATGCTGCTGAGCAAGCCAGCTTTATTCAGTTATTTGAATATGGACACTTCCAGGAGAGATCGGCTGTATAGATGATGTCGTGTTGCCATCAAGTTTCCCATCAGCTTCTGATGCTGAGGAGTACAGGAACCATAAGAACTGGTTTTCCATCAATGTTCAGGACGTGTGCTCATCCAATTTGGAGTTTTCAAACAATGTTGCTGGTTGAAAAGTGCAACTCATGAGTCAAGGATTTTTATTCCCTCCTCATTGTGTGCTCAGTTTAACAGAGGACAGTGGACCACTACTTGTGACAGTGGCTATGCTCAGAGTACATATTTATTCACATCATACTGACATTCCACAACAGCTGAGCAACAAAGATACAACAGAGCTCATGTTTGCACAGTAGGGATGGTTGAGCATATATGTGGAGTGTGGAAAAATCGATTCCACTGTTTATGGAATCATTACACTTTGTTTCAAGCTGAGAAGATGCTGCAAAGTGATTATTGCTACAGCTGAGCTGCACAACTACCTGAAGCAGCACAACTGTCTGGATCCTCCGATGGAACATCAGGATGATGCAGATGTGGCCGTGGCTGGGAATAACCAACGAGGACTTGCACACACAGCTGCTTTCACATCGCAGCACTTCAGTTAGATAAAGATGTTTTTAACCATGGATTATAATGACTGTGGCTTATTTTTTGCTTTAATAGTGTTTGTTGTGTACAAAATGTTAACGCTTGCAGCAAATTAAACGAGTAACGAAAGCTGATCGAAAATATAATTTGTGTAGAAGGCAATATTCACTCTTGCAAAATGAGAACATTTTTATTTTCACATTTTAATTAATTGTATTGTTCAACATAGCTGTCTCATGCATCTTACTTTGAGTAGCACTCCTCCAATTTTATATATTTTCATTTTCTGCTCAGGAAATTGTAGGGCTAGTTTTTCATGCATATATATCCTTTTTGTCTCTGCTGGAAGGTAGGGGCAGTATCTTCTCTCTGGCATGCCACAACAGATGTGAAGGGTGCACAGGCACCGTGCACTGGCTCTTCCATCAGGACAAGTGTAGCTTCCTCTGTGTAAAGTTCACAGAAACACAAACTTGACCAAAATAAAAATAAAGACAGACACAAACGGTGGAATATTTGTACTGAAGGAGGTAACTGATTTACCAGTACTTTCTTTGGTAAAAATTACCATTTGTGTTCAGTTCTTCATGTCCACTGTGCACAGGGTCATCATCTGGTGTACCATCCAGAGGCTGCCGGTCCTCTGTTATTCCAGACAAGTCACCCAACACATCTGTGTTGTCTTTCCTTGGTGGTGGTCTGCCACCAGTAGTAAACCAGTCTCTTTTAGCCTCTGAATTTGTTTTTTCAGATGTAGTTTTATGTTCTTCCACAGAGTCTGTTAGTCAAATATCAATGATTATGAACAATATATTGATTATAAAAACAATTCTAATTAGAGCCTGACCAATATATGGAAATTTTGGCTATCGTCGATACCAATATTTGGTGTGTGTGTGTGTGTGTGTACCGATAATCAATATAATGACTGAATATTTTTTAGCTTTGTCCACTCCAAGAATCTGAGTAAACTGCTACTTTTAAACCTGTTACACACTTGTTAGCACTTTGGTAACAGTTTCTGTTTTAAATGTGCTCTATAAATAAATCTGACTTGACTTGACTTGTTACAAAAATAATATGAACAAAGAAACGCCCTTCCCTGTTCATTGTTTAAACAGTCATTCACGTATGGTGAAGGTGTACCCAGTAATTAGTTTCAACTTGACTGAGCGGAGTTTATTTTATTTTTTGCAGAGAAGAAAAGATTTCAGACAAACAATGCATTTCATTGAGGATGACACAGAAAACGTTACTAACACTGATACTTATTTTACCGCTACATTAGATTTGGAGGGAGCTCAAACTCCGTGTTTCTTTGCGACAGCCCAGAAACCTGGCTGATCTAGAGAAGATCTGTGTGGAGGAACGGGCCAAACTCCTGCTGTAGTGTGTGCAAACCTGGTGAAAACTACAGGAAACAATTGACTTCTGTAATTGCAAACAAAGGCTACTGTACCAAATATTAACATTGGTTTTCACAGGTGTTCAAATACTTATTTGAAACAGTAACACACAAATAAATTATAAAAAAATCATACATTTTGATTTCTGATTGTTTTTTTTAGATTATGTCTCTCACAGTTGACATGCACCTAAGGTGAAAATTTCAGACCCCTCCATGATTTCTAAGTGGGAGAACTTGCAAAGTCGCACGATGTTCAAATACTTATTTTCCTCACTGTAGCTAATGACAAGCAGGTTGGAGGATTGAAGAGAATTGTGGGCTGCATCACAGGTGACCATGAAGCTGAATACAAAGGTGTGGTGGACAGAACCACCTGCTGCTCAATGTTGAAAAAAACTAAAGAGCCCCCCCAACCCTGTCAACATCAAGGGTACTAAGGTGGACACTGTGGACTGCTATAAGTATCTGGGGGTCCACCTACACAATAAACTGGACAGCTAACACCCAACGTCCTCTACA